AATTGCCACGTTACCTGGTGACGTCCCCCCAAATCTGACTCCAGCATCACCACCTCCCCATATTTGAATGCATCCTTGTTTTCTCAGAAGAGGTGTTCCAGGCCCGTCTTGGGTTCTCTTCCTCCAAATGTGGGGGTCAGTAACTCTCAAAGTAGCCCTGGTTTCTTCTTGTGGAGAATGGCATGGGAAGCCCATGTCTGGGCACCAGGAGGGCACAGTAGTAGATTGGCTCACGCCCGAGCAGAACAAGCTTCCCTCTTTAACAGGCTACAGGCTCACGTTCACATTTTCTACTTACGTCTGTGTTTACCGAGCACACCTGAGGGTGTGCTCACTCCTCCTCTGATTAGACTCCCGGTCTTTGTCTGTTGCCTTGGGTGCATGTGACAGAGCCCCACATCAAGAAGGGCTTCAACTACTGTGATGCCAAGAGCTGCAAGAGCTCACTTTCCTGTCTGTGTCTGACCCGGGGGCCAAGCATCCCAGACTGGACTTCCAAGTGTGAAGTCTAGACAAACCTCTCACGATCACCTCTCAAGCTTCAACGGAAAGAAAATGAAATTCCATCCTCGCCGGGGACACACGGTATTCAGAAAACCTTCTGAAGCCACGGTAAAGAAAGACCGAGAAAAACCACAGACACGGTGCCCCGAACTCTCCACCCTCACGAGCCATAATATCGTTGCTTGTCTGTTACCTCATGTAGGTTGGTGTGCCCTCCAGTTTCTTTCAGCTGTCAGATAAATATAAACATTTTACCAGTCTGTCATCACCAAAAAAAAAAAAAGAAAGAAAAAAGAAAGGAAAAAAAAACACTGTCAAAAAATACTGCAAGGTAATGGTCATGAATCTATTGTCATTTCTAAAACTTGACCAAAAAAATGTAACATTACCCTCGTAGGACCATATAACGGGCACAATTGTATTGGGGCTCTAAAGAGCCAGATTTCAAAAGATATCCCAATTTATTTTCATTATATTTTCAATTTTAATTTTGTTTATATCTAATAACCTTGACCACTAACCAAGTTAGAGGTAGAGTTTGATTTTTCTTACAGAAACTGACATAGGAACTCCCAAACGTTACAGCCTCGGAAAATTACTGTGCAAAACATCCAAATAATTGAATGGAATGAAATATATCAACCCATATCCCTAATTTTGCATAACAGAAATAAAATTTATCTGGGTAAATTGGTAGGTAGAAGACAATCAAATACCAATTCTGGGTATTTCCACCCTCTGATTCTCTGAGTGTGACTGTCTGAGGTCCCTCACGTTAGTGGCGTCCTGTCGTATCTGCCCCGTGCCTGGCTTGTTTCACCTCACACCATGCCCTGGTTCAGCCATGTTGTTGCAAAAGGTGGAATTTCCTTCCTTTTTAGGGCTGCGTAATAGTCCATCGTACAAATAGATCACATTTTATGTATCCGTTTATCTGTGGATCCAGCCCTTTTCCTTAACTTCCCTCTTTCAGATTAAAATTCATACCTTATTTTATGATATTTCTCCACATTTTAAAATGTTTTCAACTTATGAGCGCAAGTATCTTTAATTTTTTTAAATTATACAAAAGGAATAGGAGCTTGTCAGCCCTTCTCCCCTCCAAAACCACAGAAATCATGAGAAACTGCAAACCAAATTGTTGTGAGAACAAAGGAAGGAGGGGAGGCGGTGACCCGCAGACCCCCTCCCCAGTCCACCTTCCCCAGAATCCTGGGTGTGCGGGAAACGTGGGACAGGCTGGGGGCACAGCCAGCCCTCTTCACTTCATGTGGCTCCAGTCAGGCAGGATGACTTTTGCAGATAACATTATTCTGGAAATATGCAAGTGGGCTAACACTTTTCACATGTTCTCAGGACCACTGCAATTCAGTATCTTAGAGAACTGAGCATGATCTTAGGAATAATAAAATATACACTGTTCATGGCTCATGTAATTAGATGGCATTCAAACATTCTGCTTGGACAAGCTACATGTTTGTATTTACCTTTCAAAAACATATTTCAAAATGGAGAAAGGAAAACGCTGTTTCCAAAATAAGAAAAAACAAGATTGGAAGTTTTATGGAATATTCTTAATTTGTCTCTCACAAGGGAGCTTTTCCAAAAAGAAAATTATTTTCAAGGCTCTTGACTATGATCACTATTAAAAGAAAAACGAACTCAGTTCACTTGTACCGACCACAGAGGTGCTAAACTGAGGCTGTTTTATAAAAAAACAGACATCTCTGTTTTTCCCAAGTTGCCCACCTCTTTTTTATGAAGCCCTCTGCATTGTCCTACCTGCTTATTTGTCTTGTCTTTATTTTATTTTTTGTTTTAAGTTCGGTATGCATGTGCAGGCCATGCAGGTTAGTTACAGAGGTAAACATGTGCCATGGTGGTCTGCTGCAGCTGTCAACCCGTCCCCTCGATACTGAGCCCAGCATGCATTAGCTGTGTATCCTGATGCTCTCCCTCCCGCCACCCCACCGCCGACAGGCCCCATGTATGTTGTTTCCCTCCCTGTGTCCACGTGTTCTCATAGTTCAGCTCCCATCTTATGAGTGAGAACATGCTGTGTTTGGTTTTCTGTTTCTGCTGAGGATAACAGCTTCCAGCTCCATCCATGTCCCTACGAAGGACATTATCTCACTCCTTTTGATGGCTGCATAGTATTCCGTGGGCACACCTCTTTTTACATCACACAGGGAGCAACTGGCCTGTGAGAGCAGTCCTATTCTCAGCAGCTGGCTGCACCAGTTCACATTTACAAGGCTGGCCAGGTCTGTGGCTTCTGCCAGGGTTATCCAGCACCTGTCGGAGTCAGCGCCATTCCTTTCGGCCCTTGGCCATCGGCAGTGGTCCAGCCTTGGCCATCCTCCATGCTGCCTTCCTTCTGATGGTGCAGGTGCTGCTCTAAGGAAGGGCACGCTACCTCATGACCTCAGTCAGGCGCCTCTGTCTCCTTTGAACAGTAGGAGATGGCTGGTGCTGTCTTGCTTTTTTCTTTAAATTGCAGCTCTTGATGGTATAGAATGGCCCTGATTTTATTTGCAGAGGAAGTTTTTAAAAAGCAGTTTAATCAGAAAGCACACACTAATCCCACACTCCGGGAATCTGTTTCTTGAAGCCGCAGTGAATCTGCCTGCTCTCTCCCATCAGCCAATATTTCCAGTGGGGCCTGCGATCTGCATTGACTTCCATTACCTGTGGGATTATACAAGGCCTGGATTGTTTGGCCCTGCTTTTGCAAAACAGTCCAGCCAGTAGGCTTCTCTCCCACAGAAAGGGAATTTGTTTCAGCTGAGACGAATGAGGGGGTTCCGTGGGGGTGTGATCCCCCACCCTGCACTCATTCTCAGCATGCTGTGTATATAGGATGTGTATTCCCAGGAAGAGGGTCTCCAAAACCCATCCAATTCTGGTGGAGAAGCATGTGCCCTCCAGGATGGTCTCTTGCCCACGCTGGCTGATTCAGCATTTAGTGCAAGCGGCCTTTCCAGAGGTAAGAGGGACAAAGTCACTCCAAAGCCTGTCTGCTCCACGTTCATCTTGCTCTCCAGGAAGCTCCAAAAGGACAGCGCTCGGTGGACAAGCCCAACCCAGGAGGTCAAGACAGAGCAGCTGCCATGGTAAAGAGGCGCAGTGGGGCTGGGCCGGGTCTGCTTTATTGAACACGGTATGAACTGTCTTCACCACCCCCCACCATTCTATTTTCCTTAGGCGCACTCAGGCAACAAAAATGTTAACGCAACGACAACTTCGCGAACCTGTGGCATTTTTTGCGAACGTCTTAGAGTTTAGCGTTGCTTTGTTCACTTGGCACTGCACAAAAATATCAGCTTGGCAGTCAGGAGCCCCGTGGAGACGTGCACACGGAGGTGGGCACGGAAGCCCGCGGCGCTGCATCAACGGCGCTTTATGCAGGAGCGAAAACAAAAAGCACCACAAACCGCAGACACCTGTAAAATCGCAGCTGTTCTCACCCTGCAAGGACCCCCTCGGACATCAGGCTGCTGGCGCAGGGCTCACGCACGACGGGGCCACAGCAGAGGGAAGACAAAGTGACTTCCTAAGGGCTGCCTTCCCTGATGTGTTATTCATACATGGGACGCACATCCATTTTTCATCCAAGGTCTGTGCGGTGGGACCCTAGGGACCTCAAGAGGGAGGCGGCCATCTGGGTGGCCTGTTGGCAGGTGGGAGAGGCTTTGGGGTTCTCCCACCACAGGGAGTCAGCCCAGGGGCTTCTCTCCAGAAAGTGATGGAAACCACATGCGTCTTCCGTCTGGATAGACCAGCAGAGGGGATGGCCCAGAGCCCCTTTCTCAGATGCTACTGAGCAGCAGAACCCTGAGGGCAACCCTCTCAGGCAGGACCCTGCTCGACGTGTAAGAATGCCCCAGCTACTAAGGATTTCCCACTTACTTCTGAATCCCATGCCCTTCAGAAAATTCCCCCAAATTCCACTAGTTTCTGAAACAGCCACTTTCCATTTCAGGCATTCACGTGGATCTTTATCTCAGTTGGGACCTCTCGCCCCAAAGCAGAGACACAGACAGTCCCTTGGGAGCTGCTCCTAGGAAGCAGGAGCGGGCAGAGGGAAGCGCAGACAGGGAGGGTGGACAAGCCCGGAAGGCATACTCAAGGTCCCTGCCACCAGCAGCAGGGAGAGCTCCCCAGAACCCCCCAGAATTGTCCACCTGCAGCACAGTGGCCCCAGCGTTTATCCATCTTCCCTTCCCACTGGGACCTCCCCACAATCCCAGGCTATGCTTGGGCTCCCACAGCATCCCGAAGGCCCCAGGAGCAGAATGGAGCCCAGGGATTGGGGTGGAGGGAACATGGCCAGAAGCAGGCAGGTCTGAGTTCTCCTAGAACCACACGCAGCAGTTCAGCCAACACCTGAGATGTCCTGGGGGTGACCAGCTGCATCCTTCACAGCAAGTATCCACTCGTGGCCTCCTCCACCTGATTTCCCCACTCTCAGCCAACCCAGGGCTCCCTGAACATACCATAAAGAAGAGCAAGGCCCAGGCTCCAGAACAGAGAGCGGCGAGGCCAGACTCATCAATTGTTCGGGCGAGCTCCGTCAGTCAGCATCCACTAGGGGTGGCCGCAGCCCTGCAGTTGGAGAGGGTCTGCAAGTGTCTGGCGCAGAGCAGGGTCAGCTCCCAAGCCACCGCCTCACCCTAAGGCTGAGGACCTCCCACCTCCCAGGCAGGCAGAGCAGCCCCAGGGCTCCGGACACAAAGCACCTCCCTCCCCAAGGGGCCCCTTTAGCTACAGAATGTCAGTAAGGAAGTGACTTCACAGTGGCCACCGTGGTACCTCATAGAGTCGCAGGAAGAAAACAGGCCTCAGCGTGGGTCACTAATACCAGGACATTCTGCAGGTCATTTCAGGTGAGTGCAGCTTTCAGGGCTGCCCCAGCTAGCAGGGCTGCCTGCCCTTCCTCCTGGAAGGGGCCGAGTTGCCTTCAGAGACCAAGGCCCAGCACCTTTTGCACAGATACATGAATCCCCACGCAGCACACCCAGTCCCACGGTGACAAGGCCCCTGGGCGGAAGGAGCACAGGGCCCAGCCACTGAGGATGCCAACACCCCTGGCCCCCAGGCAGCCAAGCCTGGAGGATTCTAGAGCCACCCTTGCACACAGAATTCACTGGCATGTGTCCCTTCTGGAAGACCTTACCGTCCGAGGGGAAGTGGAGCAGACTGACCAGCAAGTCCCGGAAGGGCTGGCAAAGCCCAGGGCCATTGCACTGTGGTTGTGCTGACCAACCTCTAATTGGGCAGCCAGGCTCAGGCTCCTGCCAAGTCACAGCCCCTCTGCAGGGCAGACAATGCTGCCACGGGCTTCCAGAGCGCGCTGCTCACCTCCAGGGTGTGTGGTGGGTCAGCAACAGGTGAGCACTGACGAAAGCGCACGGCCATGCATGGAGTAGCTAAAGGTGCAGACACGGAGCCCTGGAGGGTGTGCAGAGCACAAGAGTCCCCTTGCAGCCAAGGTCAAAGGGGGAGATCAGCCAGGGCACAGCAGAAAGCAAGGTCAACCGCCACTCAGAGGCCTGGTGACAATTACCACAGCAGGAAAGGCGAGAACAGCAGTTTTAGCAGACCTTTTGGGGCGACCGTGCACCGGTGAGTAGACCAGCTGCCTGCAGTACCTTCTCGATTTTTGCTCACAGCAGCCCCGCGGTGGTGAGAATCACTTAGGTGAGTGAGTGCACCCCTCACAGCAAGTATCCACTCACTGTGGCCTCATTCACCTGATTTCCTTTTCCTTGCCTAGAAGCAAGCAAGGACAAATGCCACTCAGAGGACTGGCGACAATGACCACCACAGATACAGAGAGGCGGCTTGCAGACAGTGCCATGCAGCAGATGAAAAGAGCAAAGCTTGTGGAGGCTGGCGGGCCCAACATCACCCGGCTTGCACCTTCCAGCCCCAGAATTTGAGCCAAAGGGGTCCAGGTCTAGACTCACTGTGCTTTCCTCGTCACTGTGCTGTGCAGCCTCTGTTCAGGCCGAAGGTTCACACAGCCCTGGAACGGAGACGTGACAATCACCAGGGACACCGGCAGAGCAGTGGGCAGATAGAACTGGGCTGAGGGCTCGTGGAAGTGGAGAAGTGAAGAAAGGAGCACAGAAATCCTTCCAAGAAACTTGGCAATGACGAGGAAGCATGAAAGTGGGTGGTTGGGAGGCTGAGGTGGGCGGATCACAAGGTCAAGAGATCGAGACCATCCTGGTCAACATGGTGAAACCCCTACTAAAAATACAAAAAAAAAAAAAAATTAGCTGGGCACGGTGGCGCGTGCCTGTAATCCCAGCTACTCAGGAGGCTGAGGCAGGAGAATTACCTGAACCCAGGAGGTGGAGGTTGCAGTGAGCCGAGATCGCGCCATTGCACTCCAGCCTGGGTAACAAGAGGGAAACTCCGTCTCAAAAAAAAAAAAAAAAAAAAGAAAGTGGGTGGAAGTGGAGCCAGGGAGCATCTTCCATTTTGATGGAATATCATGAAGAAAGAGGCCAAGCTGTGGGGCAGGGAAGAGAGAAGCGAGGCCAGTGGGATGAATCCGGACCAGCCTCCCAGGGCCAGCTCCTCCTGTGCTGGGACAGAAGGAAGAAGGGTGTGCGTGGTGCTGACGCTTGCAGGAACAAGAAGAGATTCCAGAAGGCAAGTTCTCTTTTCCGCCAAAAGTCGGGGCGATAGTCGAGCTCAGAGTGAGTGTGGAAGCTGGAGAGCCCAGAGATTTTAGGACAACGGGACAGATTTGAAACAGACATTGCAGGAGAGGAGAATAAACGGGCCGGAGAGCTGTCACGATGCTATTCGGCAGTTTCCTGGCCCAGCTGCAGTTAGAGGTCATGAATTTATAATGAATTTGTTACTTACACCACCCATCTCATAAGACATTTGGAATAGCTCACGATCAAAGGCACACATTCAGTTGGGATTTACAAGCATAAGCAGGTGAGGGGTGGAAGAGGGAGAGGGTGTATCAATAAACAAAGGAGGCCAGGCACGGTGGCTCCCGCCTGTAATCCCAGCACTTTGGGAGGCTGAGGCAGGCGGATCACTTGAGATCGGGAGATCAAGACCAGCCTGGCCAACATGGTGAAACCCTGTGTCTACCAAAAATACAAAAATTACCCAAGCATGGTGGCAGGCACTTGTAATCCAAGCTTCTCGGGAGGCTGAGGCAGGAGAGTCGCTTGAACCTGGGAGGCGGAGGTTGCAGTGAGCCGAGATCACGCCACTGCACTCCAGCCTGGGCGACAGAGCCAGACTCTGTCTCAAAACAAACAGAGGAAACCACAGCATGACATTGAACCCCCCAGTTCCTGGACACGGAAACAACCACGGAAAGCTCATTCTCTGCTTGCAAGCGTTTCTATCCACTTGATACCTCCTTAACCTTGAACATTGAGGAGTTTATTTCATGCCCATTGTTTTTAGGAATAAATTTGTCATGAGATTTAAACAGTAGTACTAACAGAAGCCCTGAAATACAGACGAGGGAAAACCACACTCAAGATGCCACCCTTTACATGAGGTCCCAGAGCAGGTAAGTGACTCGCAGCATTTCCAAATGATGCTGGACTGTTCCAAATGGCCATTCCCATCATCCTTCAGCAATGGGGAGAATACAGTACGGAAATGTTTCAGGGAGCTCCTCCAGGAAGCAAAGCCACAGTACCAGAAACACCACATCTTTCAGATTATCCGACAACCAAAGATGGACATCAACCAATACCAGAGGAAGAGGTGATTCGGTCCCCTTCGACGCCAGTGGTTATTACCAAATACTGATTAGGGACCAGTGACATTGAGAACTGCTTGAAGCCTAAATTCAAAACCTCCATTCCTAGCCCCGTCCCTGAAGATTCTGATTCCGTAGCAGAGGTGGTGGTGATGACAAGGACAACCGCCAGTGCTGCTTGATAATGTCCTGTGTGCCAGGCGTCCGCATGATTCTAAGTCCTTTGCCCACCCATTTGCCAGGTCAACAAACCAAGGAACTCTTTATCTGCAACAAGGTATCCAAGCGAGTTAAACAGTCACCTCGGTTTGAAGACAAACTGCTTTAGAGTCTTTTTTTCTCTGTCTCCTTGACCTTTCTCTCCCCTCTCTGTCTCTCAGTGATGTGCCCTCTAAGTCTTATGTGTCAGTGAAAGTGGGGAGGTGAGAGCAAGGATAAGAAAGACAGAATGCCTAGATTTTCTTCTAGGGTTTTTATGGTTAGGTCTTATGTTTAAGTCTTTAATCCATCTGGAGTTAATTTTAGTGTAAGGTGTCAGGAACGGGTCCAGTTTCTGCTTTCTGCACATGGCTAGCTAGTTTTCCCAGCACCATTTATTAAACAGGGAATCCTTTCCCCATTGCTTGTTTTTGTCAGGTTTATCAAAGATTGTATGGGTCTATTGGGGGGAATAGGGGAGGGACAGCAGGGCGGGGGGAGTTGGGGAGAGATAGCATGGGGAGAAATGCCAGATATGGGTGAAGGGGAGGAAGGCAGCAAATCACACTGCCACGTGTGTACCTATGCAACTATCTTGCATGTTCTGCACATGTACCCCAAAACCTGAAATGCAATTAAAAAAATAAAAAGAAGAAAGACAGAATGCTTAAGGTCAGCTCAAGCATTGCCTGGGGGCAATGGAACCAGCCAGCCACCCACGGGAAACGGAAGTGCGCCTTCCGCTCCATGCTGCAGTGCCCGTAGCAATTTCCCTGGAAACAGGAGGACTGGAACGGCAGTGAGTACATTCACAACATTCACCCCCGTAGGCATTGCTCACAGTCATAAGTGGCGTCAACAGTTACAGGCGTCGCAAGACAGGGAAGCAAACTTGTTATAAAGAAAAATACCTAAGCCTTGTCAGGTAATCAAGGCAAAGGGCTCCAGACGCATGGTGCCGCTAGCCCGACCCTCTCCGAGAAGCGATCATGGAAAAGCATCTCGAAGTGTTAATTCTGTTACTGCATCTCTAAGGAGTTATCCTAACGATGTAAGACTGGCTAAAATATGATTAGGAGGTCACCTAAAAATCCAACCAGAGGAGATTCGTTAAAATCCACGCAGTTTTTAAAATAACGTTGGAGGGATGTAACTTACTCGCACAAATTTGTTAAGAGGAAAATGTGTCTGATATATTAATAGGAAAAACAGCTTATAAAGCAAGATGCTGAGCTTTCATTCCAAGTAGGATATAGCACGTTACCACCAGCCAGGGGTCCCACTGTCACAACAGGAATAAAAATAAATGCATTTGTAAAACCCCTATTCTTAAAATACCATAGACTCATGGTAGCCATACTGTCTAGATGAGCAACTACCCCAGAGCAGGCCTCGTCCTCCAGAGGGCTGGTGCCTGCCAGATGCCTTCTTCAGATGGGCATGGGCACAGTTGGGGTGCAGGCTGAGGATCTGGTTTGGTCTCCATGGAAAGACTCTAGTGGGAAAAATACATGCCAGCAGAGCTGTTGACAGTCGCACAAGCCAGCAAGATGACCAGAATCTAGAAAAGGGAAAACAACTGCTGTCAATTTAAATCTTCAGGGCATTTATTACATTCTGGGAACACACTAGGGGGGATGGTGCCCAGGGTCAGAAGCCTCTGCCAGGCAGACTGAAATAGCCTGCAGTTACAGAGCACTGAGAGACAAATTTCCACTAGAGAAAGAGGCACTGCCTGAAGCACAGAGCCAGGATTCCACTTGCTAAGGACAGAGGATCAAACCTCAGAAGGTGGAGGGAAGGC